GGCCTCTGCCAGGATCGTAGCCCCGAACCCCCGTCAAAGGGATTGCGGCTTTTCAAAATGTTGCGGCAAGGTATATTTTTTTTAGATAAAGACCTCTGCAGGGATCGTAGCCCCTGGCCCTACCATGGGCTAATCCGGCCCTGATCATAGTCTCGGTTTCAGCTGTGTTTACATCTAAGCCCATGTTTCTGCTTTCTGTTGTTAAATTGTCCATAATTATCTGCAGTTGTTCTTTAGGTTCAGCCAGCACTACAGTGTCGTCAGCGTATCGGATATTGTTGATTACAATTCATTTAATCTTGGCACCGTCTTGTCGGCTGTTTCCTGATGCTTGTATTGTATATTCCGCATATACGTTAAATAGTAAGGGGGAGATAATGCGTGTTGCCAATGTTGGTTCTGATACATCCTTCGTGGTTCCAATATATATATATTCCGAATTATAGCTATGTCCTGTCCATCCAGTCCCATCTTTTTCATGACATGTATTAGTTTTTCATGCCGGATACGGTCGACGGCTTTTTCGTAATCCACAAAACAAACATACAGCTTCTTCTGCACTTCCAGGAATCTCTCTGCTATTAGTGTTAGACTTATAATTGCTTCCCGCGTTCCTGTTCGTTATTCCAAATCCGTACTGCGAGCGACTCAGGTAATCATCGCATTTATTGTTTATTCGATTGAATATTATCTTCATAAATATTTTCGCTGCTTGGCTCATCAGGCATATTGTCCGGTGATCTTCGCATTTCCGAGCTCTGCATTTCTTAGGTATGGCAATGAAGGTGGAGGTGAGCCAGTCTTTTGGGAGAGTTCCGGTTTCATATATTCGGTTGTAAATCCTCGTCAACGCTGTGATCGCTTCTTCGCTAAGATATTTGAAGTTCTCTGCTGTGGTGAAATCCTCTCCAGGGGATTTCAGTCAGGGTCATGACCCTCCCTTGTACCGGATTTTTAACGACTAACGAGAATTTTTCTAATTTCATGGACAACAAAAGACTGAATTTCTACTACTTGACCCCCCCCCTGACTCGAAAGCTGGATCCGCCCCTGTTATTATGCATCTTAGCTACAAATTTCCATGTGGAGTTATGAATTGTTGATAGCTAAAAAACAGCTCTCATTTCGTGCATAAATAGGTGGTTTTGGAAAAGCGAAATAAAAGTTGGTGAGTGTTTTTTTGCTTAAGTGCGTAGTTTCAAGTGTTCTTTAAGGTAAAAAAGAAAACAACAAAAAATTCGGAGGCTTAGCATAATAATATACAGTTGAGTCCGGATATAACGAACTTGAACGAAGAATGAACTAAAACTGGTTCGTTATATCCGGAGTTCGCTATAAGCGAATAATAATACAAAAACACATGGTGTATTTTATTTCGTAATTTTTACATAGATTAGTAGATGTTAGTAAGTATAACTAAAAAGAACACAAAAAGATAAACAGAACACAATTTGAAATCTACTTCATAAAGTACAGGGTTATTCACGCTATACGGCACGGAAGTTTGCGGCTAAACCGTTTGATTTTTT